GGAGGCCAAATACAAAGTCCATACTAATGGACTCCCAGCACCCAGTGGGAATAGGCAAACTATCCAGCGGCGCTGCCGAATGGGGCGAGGGTTTTACCCGTTGACACGTTTCACACGTACGCACATATGTGATCACCCATTTATATAATTTGGGCCACCAATAACTTTGGCATACTGCCCCATAGGTCTTTTCACGACCCAAATGACCACCGATGGCGGTGTCATGTACCTCATAGAGGATACGATACTTCAAATCCTTGTCATGAGGAACCACAATACGTGGAGGATCCGCCACATTCGTACAATATAAAAACAGCCCCTTATCGATAGAATATCGATGGAGGCTTGCACGTAATCGTGCCGACAATTTAATGTCCGAGTCTTTAAACTCATTACTGCCAAGAGCATGTAGCGACGCTATACAATGATCTTCTTTAGCATACGCCGAACGAATGAGATCAATGATAGAAGACGACAACGTCGTAACATGAGCAAGCTCATAATCAGGTCTGCGTGACAACGCATCAGCCAAAGCATTTTGCTTGCCCGTCTTATATTTCACCTCGAAATTATATTCGGCGAAGAATGACATCCATCTGGCCATTCTCTGCGAGAGATGCGGCGACTGAGTCGCAGTGCGTAAAGACGCATGATCGGTATAGATCACGAAAGAATTAAAGCCCAGCAGATGAACTCTAAATTTGACCAGGGCATACTTCATCGCAAATAGCTCTTTGTCATGAACTGGATAGTTCTTTTCTGCAGCTTTCAGCTGGCGAGATTCAAAAGCGATCACACGCTCACGGCCTTCATCATCTGTTTGTAACAGAACACTGCCAATGGCAAAATCCGACGCGTCACAGACGACGCTAAACTGTCGGTCAGGATCTGGCAAAGCCAAAATAGTAGCATGAAGAAGGCTATCCTTCACCGCTTAAAAAGCGTCCTCGTGTTCGGCATGCCAATACCATTCCCCATCCATTTTAAGAAGATTTAGATAATGGCCGAGCCATATCAGCGTAATTCTCGCTGTCCTTGTGTAAGTAATTGGCAAGGCCAAGCCATTTACGCAAGTCCTTCTGAGACTGTGGAACAGGCCAATCGACTATGGCTTTGACCTTAGCGGGATCCGCTCTGAGGCCTCGCTTCCCAATGAAGCACCCTAGAAAGGGATTTTCTTCGGCCCCGAAGATGCACTTAGATGCATTAGCATATATATTATTTGTGCGCATGCACTCGAGCACAGCTCGTAAATGAACAATATGGTTGTCAATATCTGACCGCCCATTTGCAGCTCGACTATGGACAAAAATGTCATCAAAGTATTTCTGTGCATAACTTCGATGGGGTCGAACCAATTGCGTTACCAACCGGTTAAACGTAGCCGGAGCATTAGATAGCCCCTGGGGCATCACCAACCACTCCCAGAGCATACCGCTCGGAGTACTAATAGCAGTGAGCCGAATATCGCTAGCTCGCATGAGCAATTGGTAATAACCATCGACTAAGTCGAGCGCACTGTACATGGTACAACCGGACATATTGTTCTGAAGAACATCCTTTCTAGGTATTGGCGTCTGTGCAGGTATAGTGGCTGCATTGAGCTTATTATAAGCATGAACGATACGCCATTTACCATTCGGTTTCTTAACACAGAAAGTGGGTGTCGAGTGCGGAGATTTACTCTCACGCACCATGCCCGCCGCGTGCTTTGCACGAAAGAACTCGTCAATGACGTCACACTGTTCTTTGGGTAAAGGCCACTGCCGTGTTACACAGTATTTGATTCCGGGAACCAAGTCAATTCCATGACGTACACCCCTATCAGGTGGTAGAACCGACGGTGGATCGTGACACACCACGTCCTGAAATTCCCTAACTAAAGGATAGTAGGGATCTGAAGGGTCCCTCAGAATAGATGCCCCACTACGTGCACTTAGTGCCGCCTTTGTATCTTCGAGGACTGTCTCATCGACAAGCGAGGATGAGTTCAGCTCGAGGTTAGGTCTAATGACCACCATATCGGATAGAACACCAACCTTCAAGGCCTGATGAAATTCATCCACAGACATTTCGTCTAGCTCTAAAAAAACATTTAGTGATGGGAGGGCCTCAAGTTCAACCTCACCATCTACATCACCTGTCACTCCGTTGACCAGGGTGTACAACTAGTCACTGACATGACTACGCGATAAAACAGACGCTTTGCGTCTCGCAGCCGCCATCTGCTACGCTGCCGTCTCATTGACGAGACCGTACCTTTTAAAGTACTTGGGATACCATCATCTCCAAGGTCAACAGATCCCTTGACCTTAACCTGCCCTGTGCGAGAGCCGATGTCAGTAGTGGGTCACTAGTACCAGTGACCTCACTAACAAGGTCATCAACCTTCACTACTCTATACGAGAGCCGATGTCATTATCGACATCCAGTGAATCGCATTTACAGCCAATATCACTAACAAGGTCATCGACCTTCACTTACTCTATACGAGAGCCGATGTCATTACCGACATCCAGTGAGTCATGACCTCACTAACAAGGTCATCGACCTTCACTTACTCTATACGAGAGCCGATGTCATTACCGACATCCAGTGTCTCAATATTACTATGAGTATCACTCAACGGAGTACGTGCCGCTCCACTAGGTGTCATTGAGCTCTGCTCGACACTATTATTGTTGACATTGGAGTTTATTTATTCAGACACTCCAATGTCCAGCACACTGACTGAATCAGTTACTGGCTCGCGCCAATAGCACTTTTGTTATCTAGCAAAGGTGGGTTCATGACTCTCCAAAGCGTCGCTAGGAACATTGCGCGTTGCGCCTAAAGTTTTGGATCTCCAATCGATCCACGGCTCATGGCGTTCCAGCCAGGCCATACCGAGAATGAGATCATATATCGAGTCCAAATCTAGGACAAAGACAGCGTTCAACGCTATTGAAGTCTAAGAACTTCACACCTAAGCTCAACGGAACTTTAGGAACTGTGACACGTACACCTGTTGCGAGACGAACGGTTATACTGTCACCCTCTTGCGTTTCTAGCGCCTCAGCATACAGCTGACTCCCTTCAAGGGAAAGACGTCGAACATAATTACCTGACGCCCCTGAGTCAATTAGAATTGACCATGGTTTCTTAAAACCCTTAACGGTTGCTTTCGCAACGGACAGCTAGGGCGGAGATGCCTAATGCTTCCGCACATGTAACATCTACGGATGTTACCTTGCTGCTCAGCAGCTTGAAGCTCAGCTTCTTCAGATTGACTGAGATCCATGGGTTCCGCCCTATTAGAGGTATTTGATTGATACCATGGCAGAACATATCGAGCAGATCTAAAATTAAATTTAGCGCTGAACGATATGCTTACTGCCTCTTCGAAAGTCGAAGGCTGGACACGGAAAACTTCCGTCCTGGCGACCCCAGTACGAACTCTTTCCATAAAAATGGTTACTCGGACTTCCTCTGCCAGTGGGTCCTGCTGCATAGCAGCAATGAGAGTTCTTAACCCTTGGACATAGTCCGACAATTTTTCTTACCTTGTCGGGTAGCTAGGAAGCGTGAACGCACACGAAAAGCCTGATTAGGCGGTGCAAACACACAAGTTAATTGCTTTTTAAGCATTTTCCAGGTGGGGAATGCAGCATTTACAGAGACATCGCTCGTTAGAGCCCACTCTCTAGCTCTTCCACCGATCTTCGAAATGACCAAGCCCACTCGTTGCTTATCTGATACAAGCATGGCGGCATCCATTGCCATTTTCATTTCTCGGATCCAGAGGAGAAGATTTTCTCCCTCCTTCCCCTCAAAGGTCTTTACGTTTGAAACGAGTGGGCGAGCCTTTGGCTCTACATCGGGCACAGGTACCGGGATGTAATGTGTAGGTGCAGCTGACGCTGCCTGGTCATGAACCTGCCCGAGGAGCGTTGCTTCATAACGCATAAAGGCCTCAAGGCGAGCATTTAAAACCTCCGGGCCTTGGGCCAAAAGGGCCTCGATTTGATCGGGCCCGACGAACGCAGATAATTTATCTAGCGCGAGTCGTTGCGCCTCAGAGAGGTGATTTTGATTCTCCATCCTCACAAAGGGTAAGTCTTAAAAGACTCCGGTGTAGGATTGACTACAAGTGCTACCAAGTGTAGCGGAGCTGCACAGCTCTTTAGCCAGAAGAAGACTTTTGGCTGGAAGCCTCATAGTTCTAGAGAATTAAATAGAGTTAAGGCTAAAAGCCACTTAGTTCTAAGGAACTAATTAAACGACTTTAAAGTCACCCTCTTCTAAGGAACTAGGAAAGAGACTTTTAGTCAGTCAAGCAATAAGCTTAAGGTTCAGCGAACCAACGCACAGAGTGCAAGAACAAGCTAGAAGCTTAAAGGCTCAGAGAACCAACGCACGAAGTGCACAAGTGAAAAAGTCAGCGAGACTTGCGATATTAAACTCAAAATGAGAACTGATTATATTTATGCTTTAAGATTTTATGAATAGTCCTACTCTAAGTACACTACACTAGATTAATTACTATAATAGTAATTATTATATGCAGACTTTGCTATTGGACGATGTGTCGTCTAAACATCTATGTATGATGTACTTAGTACAGCGTTATCGATTTATCGAATCCTAATCGATAAGATACGGTATTACCGAATACCGTATCTTTAACGCTTATACCTCTCTAAAGAGAAGTATCAAAATGCTTTATATGCAATAAACAGGGAATTCAACCGTAAACTCTCGGAAAGACGCTACAACCGTCGTGTAACCCCGTTACAATCAAGCTGGAAAATCGACCATGATCTGCTGTAATACAAGATCAAAGAAACAGTGTAAAAAATCTATTATATAACTACACGAGGGCGTGTAAGGAACGCAGACAGCCTTTTAGCGTACATCGTCAAGGTCTTCTAGCCATTAAGCCATTGCGGTGTCAGCCTTGTCATAATTTTCCACTGTCTTTCCTAAATTTCGTGCCGCTTTAACTTCTTTAGCTTTTCTTCTTACTCTGCTTCCCGCATTCTCTTCTCCTCCTCTGCTTCTTCTATTCGACCTTTTACTTCCTTTTCCTTTTTAACGTCATTTCCTCTTTTGGTGTAAGTTTTTGTGTAGTCTTCAAAGACCAACTTGTCGTCTCCGTAAGATAAAAGCATCAGATTTTGCTTGACTTTCTCTGGGCTGGTATCGTTGTATTCATGTTGCTTCAACAGCTCCTTCCACACCTTGTTAGCTAACTCACGCGTCCCTTCTGTTTTTCGCGCATACCTAAGCCAAACAAGGTTAATTGGAGGCTTGAATACTTCCATCAAGGTTTCACCTGCGTGATCAGTAGGCTTGATTTGTCTTAAAAAGACGTCCATATAATCTATCCACCAACCAAACAAAGGAATTTCGAACAGCTTTTCAGGCGTCATATCGGCATCCAGTTTTAGAGCCTCAAAAAGGTAATCCGGCGTGACCCCACGGTTAATGTTCCAGAATCGAAACATCTCGTCCTCCACGCGTTGAGCAGCATACACCGCGGACTTGCTCTCCTTCAACTTTTTCGCGGACAAAATCATTTCGCCTAGTGTTTCCAGCTTATCTTCGAATTGACCCTGTAACATAAATGCCACGTTGGTGTTACGATCAACGTAATCTACCATAGTTGCTGGGTCAGTTTTCCACGGCCGTCTTTCGATGTCTGTTACGACTTTTTCATACTCTTCCTCTGTTGCAAGTCTTTTTGTTCTGGGATAAGCGTCCGCGTACTTCATAAATGTGATAAAAAGAGGGATTTCAAACAAGTTTCCCTCGTCTTTCAAAATTTTATCCAGATTGTCTTTACCAAAAAACATCATGAAGATCTCATTTGGACTTCTTTTTTGGGTGAACCAAAGTTGGAAGAGAGCGTTCTCCGATTTCGTAGACCGCAACCCTCCTGTACTCGATGCAAATTTTATTCCTCGAAGAATCTCGTTCTCCTCGAAAGCCGCCTCCTTCGTCCCTGTATGTGTTTTTTTAATATCGTTGACAACGTGCGTGAACGTGACAAATGTATCCATCGAAGGGTCATCCAACAATTTGTAGCCTGCAGCTTTGAGGTCAAGAAGCTCGAACACGTCGTCTAATGACTTTCCATCTTTCACCCAGGTTCCGCATAGCTTTTTCTCCAAAGTTTTAGCAAAGTTTTCGGACTTTTTGATCTGTCGCTCAGCTTTCAGTAGGCTGGCTAAGCCTTTGTCATCATAAACGGTTCGCAATAAATGGAAGACACTCGTTTGGGGCTCTTCGGGATGTGCCGCCTCAAACTTTTCCAAGCAGGTACGCCAGAAAATAAAGAGCTTATTAGTAAACAGGCCATTTGTTACCTTATCCAATCTTAGCTCCATAAACAGATCATCAACATCGCTTCTTTTAACAAACTTTGCCTTTTCCACCTCATCCTTCAAAAACACCTCAGGGTCTATCCTTTTATCAGGGGCCTTTTCCATCAAAAATTCGATGACCTTGTTATTTTTGTTGTATTCCACATTGATCCTTTCGAAGTAAGTATACCAATAATTAAAGAGTGGATGAGTAAGAATACCACTTGTAACTGTATCAAGTCCCATATCCTTAAACATTTTGTCCGCAGAAACACCCGTCCTCAGCAAATACTCCATTTGTGCTTCCTCCAATTTCTTAGCGCCTTCAAGTTGTGGGCCCATCTTCGCATGTATAATTAGGCGGGCCAAGTCTACATCGCTGTATTTGAACTCGGTTTTAAAAAAGTCGACGACACCCTCTTTTTCAAAGCATTCGTATCAAGCTTTCCCACGTATATCATCCAATAACCAAAGAGTGGATGAGCAAGCAGGTCATCTTTAGCACTAGTCAGTCCCAGTAGCAATAACAATTCATCAGCAGATATCGCACTATCCAGCCAATACTTCATTTGTGCTTCCTCCAATTCCAAAACAGCATCGGTAGGTGTTGATTTCTTCTTCGCAGCTACAATTAGGCGCGCCAGGGTTATATCGCTGTGCTTGTACTCGGACATCAAAATGTCGAAAACACTCCATTTTTTTCCCTTACTGTTTTCCTCGTTGAATATTTTCACGTATGTACTCCAATAATCAAAGAGTGGACGAGCAAGAAGGTCATCTACACGCAAATCTTTTGAATTTGACAGTTCTAGCAGCTTGAACACATCTTGACCAGATTTATTTTGTTTCAGCCAATACTGCATTTGTGCTTCCTCCAATTTCAAGGCGGCGTCCTTATGTATCGCATTCGTCTTTGCACGTTCGATGAGTTGTGCAACAATCCTTTCATCCAATTTATTCGTCAATTCCACAATTGCCTTTTCTTCAGAAAGCTCCCCGATCGCTTTCAAAAACGTCTCATACGGATCAAGTTGCAAGGTTGCTGCTTTTGCAGCGAGTTTGTCCTGATTGGGAGCTACTACATTCTTTAACTTTTCGGCCACTTTGCTGAGGCCCTCGCCAATTCCCCCCTTTCACCGTCGTCTCTACCTGCAGTATAGCTTAGGCCTTCAGAGGGTTTAGTCGGACTCCCAGCGGCAATAGTTGCTTTTTTCGCTTCGGCAAGATCCTCTTTTACCAAAACATTCACATTTATCATCCCGTCACCTTTGTCTCTAGTAGAGCTTGACTCAGGAGTGTAATCAGTCGTATTCACAACGACGGAAGTTGTTATCTTGGCTGTGGCAGCATGCGTGATCGAGGCTGCTGCAAGGAGCAATTGAACGTAGACTCGCATGATCGTCTGAAGATAAGTGCTGCAAGTTCAATCGTAGATTGAGCGGATATATATACAACCTGAAGTTGCTGAGGGCTAAGAGTCAGCAGGATAAACAGCACGTCGTATGTACACCGAATGGGAAGTGACTTAGGAAGTCAGTGCATTCCAGGGGACAGACTGCATAGTGCACTTTTTTCCAAGTCGATAAGGGTTATAATCGACGTTTTACACTTGTACTAACACATGTATTGGTACAACCCAACGACATGACTGACCTTGGTTGGAAATGGGTCTTTGTCATGATTCGTGCGCCTTTCCCTCCTTGTCCCATTGTTATCAACGCACATGGATGTGCATAAAATGAGTCATGCGACACTACGCTCATGCAGTCGTCACATACAAAATATATGATAAAAAACAAAATGCTGCTGCTAAATTTTAGGTATAATACTTGCCAAGGCCTTGTCTATGGCTTTGTCAGTTTACACGTGAGAATTACCCAGACCTCTAGTATTTAAGGTCTATAACATCCATAGAAGCATCTGGAGGCCCTTAGATCATTGAAGCTCTGGAGTGCAGCTTGCACTTTCCAACAGCTGGTTTTGCTGTTTGATCGGGATGATGGCAACAAATTTGGGCATTGTGACCATAATAATCGTATTAAATATTGCTGTTCGTTCATACAGTAGATGAATATATAAAGACTACATAATGCATAGATACCATCTACTAGCATGATACGACTACTCACTGCGCTCTACACCATCAAAGAGACCATATATATACGTCTGCACCTCTAAGCATTCAAACAAATTATTCTTCTGCCAATCGAAAAGGAACTATCTTGAGCATAGACACCCAAGAAAGCTTTCACATCACTGTCTCTCTTATTGCCACACCTTTTATGTGTTTAACGACACGACCCTAAACTTTCTGCTGTGCATGGACGTTCATGGCTACGATGGCAGTGATTGTCAAGCACATGACAGGTGCCCAAATGACTCCAAGTTCTTGAGCACGACGGATAAAAGAGTGAAACTCATGAGTTGCGACAAGAAATAGCCAATCCAAGTCGTGAAAAGAAGAAAGATGCTGTAAAGAAGATGATTGCGAAAAGGACAGTAGGAAAAGACGTTCTCGATGCTGCTGATAGATGTTGGAAACTGGATGTAAACGGCTGATACACAGCTAAAGAAGCTCGTGGATTTGTACTGGATTGACTATGGAAAGAGCAATCCAGACCTCACGATTTTGACCGTGACGAAAGACGCAGTAGATTCTAATCCACTTATTTTAAGCATTATCGGTAAGTACCATGGGCTGCATTCGTGTGGACCGCATGACAGAGTATCTATGCGAACCACTACGTTGTTGTTTGAAGGATGAAGTGTTAGAAGCTATTGTTGTTGACAGGTCGTGAAGGTCAAACGCAATACCCTGTCACGAGGTAAGTAACACCGTATCTGATTGACTAAACAGACTTGACGTGCTGACAGATGGGACGAGGCGACGATATCGCCACGTCGGACCATCAGGATGTTGCGACATATGGGACGAGGCGACGAGATTACCACATCGTCTTGTCGATGTCGTAACAGATGGGACGGAGCGGGATAGACGTGAACTATAGATGGTATAGTTGCAGTCGGTTTCGCATGCATGTGTAGGTATTAACGAACGAGGAAAGTTAATGCGTAATATATATCACTTTTACTTCTACCTCTACGTGCACAAGTGCACCACTACTTCACTTCATTCTTACAGGTTATGAGCCCAAAAAATCGTGACGGCGGCGCAGCTCAAGGAGCCACACCCGCTGTGGTGGTCAATGGTCAAGGATCGACCGAGGACCACCAACTGGAAGAAAAGTCGGCAGTGCCCGCGGCGGCACTGGACAAGATGCTTGCCATGCTTGGCGATTTTTCGGAGCGGATGGGTAGGATGGAATCCTCCCAACACGGACAAGTCGGTGGCCAACGCAAGGAACCTGCGGAATCGAGCGTCTTTGGTTCGGTTCTCGGTTCAGGGGCCGGTATAACACTCCAGGCTTTGGAGCGTACCCCGCCACCTAAGCGATCACCGAACGTCTCGCCGGCCACTTTTTTTTGGTGCCCGACGACCTGTTTTGGCCGGGGATCACATGGTCGACGCGCCGGCCCAGGCCAATGTCAACCACGGAATGGCTCAAGGATTTGAGCCTGGAATTCATGGGCATGCCATGCCCGCGGGAGCATACCCGGGAATGCAGATGCCAGGTCCTGTGTTACACCAACCTGGGCAAGTACACCAGGGTGTACCGGATGGCCGTCAAAGGAAGCTGGCTTTGCAGCCTTTCGACGGAAAGGAGCTCTACCTCGGACTTGGTAGTGGCTTCATTGAATGGGGGAAAGAATTTGTTCGGCAGGTTGCCTTTTCGGAACGCGCCTGTGCCTTTGCATGGCCTGAGGACATTAAGGTTGATGTCCTCGGCCAACACCTGGCTGGTACGGCGCAGAAGTACTACCGGCGGCAGGTGGAAACTTGGTGGTCTGAAAGTCCGACCTTAGAGCATGCAATGCAAAGGTTACTCCAGACCTTCAACACCAAGATAACACCTGCCCAAAGCATGAAGCTGTTTACTGCAGCCAAGTCATCTCAGCGTAGCTGGACGGAGCATTTTCTGTACCTGACAGCTGTAAGGGATGCGTGCGGAGGTGCGGACAACCTCGTGCTAGACAACATCGTGCACTATGCCGACCCGTCTATGCGGCCGACCATGTTGTCTCGCCTGAATTTAAGCAGGGTCGATTACCTTCGCCAAGCTGAAGAGCTCTCCCAATTTTCTCAGTCAACGGAACTGGAAGTTCGCGTGAAGCATTTCGGTCGAGATGACGTTAACATCGTCGAACCGAACAACCAACCTAAGCGAAACGACCGGAACAAGAAACAACATGGTCCGCAACGACCCAAGCAGTGTTACCTACCGGGCACCTCAAGATGACCTGCCCAAAAGGTACCAAAAAGAAACAAGATGCGGATTTTGTATTGGCAATTCCAGGACATCGGACGATCTCATCAAATCACTGGGTGCTGGACAGCGGCTCAGGTCGTCATCTGATTAACGATTTAAACTTGCTGGAAAATGCGGTGGATTGTAAAATCGAATGTTTTACTGCAGCATCGGATAGTGAACCACTTCGGATCACCAAACAAGGAAGCGTCGTGATCCGGGTCAAAGCACTTGGATTGACTAAAACCATTCGTCTTCTCGATGGTCAATACGCCTCCAATTTGGAGTGCAACATCATCTCGTTTGGGAAACTCGAATTGAATGGATGCGTTCTTGAATACCGAGAAGGGGGGCGTGTCATGGTATCACATTCTGGTGGAATACCTATAATGGATGTTGATCGCATCAACAATGTATTGGTCGTTGAAGTTTTCAATGGAATTACGACCGATGATTTTCGTGGATTTGGGTCACCAAGAGAAGCGATCATGACGGTTGTTGAAGACATTACAAACCATGCAAAGAACGACACGCAACACGGATCCCTGTTTTATTTTCATCGGTGTCTAGGTCACCTGTCCTATGACACCATCATCAAGATGGCTCGGGATCCCGCCTGGTATCCAATTGACTGATACAACGCGTGTCAAGTGCTTAGCCTGTGCGCAAGGCAAGCAGACAAAAAACCGACAATCGCGGAAGGACAGTGGGCTGAATTCGCCCATTGACGTGATCGGAGGCGTAGTATGTTCAGACCTAAAAGGTCCTATGACCCCCCGTGATCGGCTCGGAAATCGATACCTGGTCAATTTTATTGACCACAGGTCGAACTACTGCCGGGTGTTCTTAGCGAAGACCAAAGATGCCGCTGCGATGCATTTCAAGAATTTCTTGGTGGCTTTTGAGCGTCAATTTAATTGCCGTATACACGTTTTACGAACAGACGGTGGAGGTGAGTACAAGCCTCTGGATGTTTTTTGCAAGGAAGTCGGTGTCACTCGTCAGGTGAGCGAACGTGACAATCAGGCCAGCAATGGCAAAGCTGAACGCATGCATCGCACCATCATGAACATGGTGCGAAGCATGGTGTTTGCAAGTGGGTTACCCTTGATGTTTTGGGGTGACGCTGCAGAATATGCAGCATACATCCTAAATCGAAGCCCTACCAAGGCAAACGAAGGTGGCATCTCACCTATTGAGATGTTAACCAAGAAAACACCCGTCTTAAGTGACATTGTGGTTTTCGGATCTCCATGCACCGTGCACCGAACGACTTCAAACAAGTCGTTGGGTCCTCGGGGAAAACAAGGTATCATCATCGGCAAGAGTGATGAAATGAAAGGATATCGGGTTTTCATACCGATGGAACGTATCGTGGTGGTGAGTCAACATGTGAAAAATGTTGAGATGTTGGATAACATACAAGAGAAAGCGTGACTAAAACGTTACATGGTACCGAAGGTCAGGAGGAGCTCGGTGACCAAGGTGGCACGAGCAAATCAAGGGCAAAATCATCGGAATGGAAACGTGATCCACACATGACACGGTCACGTCTAGCTGACGGAGACACATCAAGTGATGTCATAGACATACACAAAAATGTCGGCATGGTCAACGTTGTTCGAGACCCAAGGAACTATGGCGAGGCCGTACGGAGCGACAGCAAGGATAAATGGGCTGTATCCATCAAGGACGAGCTACATGCATTGGAGGAAAACGGTGTGTGGGCGGTTTTTGTTCCACCTGACAACGCCCACATACTGCACAACAAATGGGTCTTCAAGACAAAGACCGACGCCGATGGGAAAGTCGAACGCTACAAGGCCAGACTTGTTGCACGAGCAGTTGTTTGGAGTCGACTACACCTTGACTTTTGCGGCGGTTATGGAACTTGGAACAGTCAAGGTGATTCTGGTCCTCTCACGCAGATGGAACGTACCGGCTCGGCACGGCGATGTGCCAAACGCATACGTCAAGGCCGATCAAGAAAAGGACCTCGACATCTACATGAAAATACCAAGCGGTATGCAAGTCGATGATGACACCTTGGCCCATCATGGAGTGGACGGGACAAAGCAACTCGCGCTGTTGCTTAAGAAATCCTTGTACGGATTAAAACAAGCTGGAAGATTATGGAGCAAGCTACTGCACTCCAAATTAACTGAGTTGAATTTCAGAAAATGCACGACGGACATGTGTCTATACGTCAAACGAACCGGCATAGATGTAACGGTCGTCGGAGTTTACGTCGACGATTTGCTGGTGACTGGAACATCGAATGATCTCGTCGGACAATTTTTCAAGGACATGACGTCTCTCGAGATCAAGGACCTCGGAATGGTGAACAAGTTTCTCGGACTTAGGGTCAAGCTGGACAAAAACGAAGGCTACGTGTTAGATCAAGAAGTAACCATCGACTTACTGCTAAAGGAACATGGACTAGCTACAGCTAACGGGGTTCGATCTACAATAGGAGACGAATGCAATGACGTCGATGAGACGAAATCGGAGTCCCTGAAGTCGATCGCCAAAGATGGAGATGCAAGTGTCAAGGCCTTCCAATCACTCATCGGAAGTTTACTCTGGATCGCGCGTTGCACTCGACCAGACATTTGTTTCGCAGTACACCGAGCGACTCGACAGACTCACAAGCCGACAACCAAGGATTGGAGAACGGCGAAACGGGTCGCAAGATACCTGAAGGAAACCAAGAGTTTAAAGTTGTGCATCAACAGCTCACGCGGTATGGACGACCCAATTAAAATTGAAAGCTGGAGTGATGCAGACTTTGCCGCGGACAAGTCGGACCGCAAGTCAGTCACGGGATACGTTCTCACGATGGATGGTGCTGTCGTGTCATGGGCGTGCAAGAAGCAGACAGGTGTGTCGCTGAGCACCATGGAAGCTGAGTGTATCGCGGCATCCCACGCTGGTCGCGAGCTGTTGGGTTTGAAGGAACTGTTTGGTGAATTGAACATGAAGATCGTCAAGCCGATGCCGATGTGGATGGATAATCAAGCCGCAATCAACTTGTTGAAGACCGAGAAAAGTTCATCAAGTGCAAAGCATGTGGACGTCCGATTCAAGTTCATCTGCCACTACTCACAAGCAAACGAGGTTGAGCCACGCTTCATCAAGTCAGAAGAGATGATTGCTGATCTCCTAACTAAAGCGCTGGCAGCACCAAGGATGAAGGACCTACGTGCGATGTTCAAGTTGAAGAACCCTCAGGATACGGTTGAGGAGGAGTGTTAGAAGCTATTGTTGTTGACAGGTCGTGAAGGTCAAACGCAATACCCTGTCACGAGGTAAGTAACACCGTATCTGATTGACTAAACAGACTTGACGTGCTGACAGATGGGACGAGGCGACGATATCGCCACGTCGGACCATCAGGATGTTGCGACATATGGGACGAGGCGACGAGATTACCACATCGTCTTGTCGATGTCGTAACAGATGGGACGGAGCGGGATAGACGTGAACTATAGATGGTATAGTTGCAGTCGGTTTCGCATGCATGTGTAGGTATTAACGAACGAGGAAAGTTAATGCGTAATATATATCACTTTTACTTCTACCTCTACGTGCACAAGTGCACCACTACTTCACTTCATTCTTACATGAAGACCTGTACGTACGGAAGACGACGCGGCCATTTGTGGTTCCAAGCTCTATGACATTATTCCTGACATGGTAGAGGTACAAGGCACTTTCGATATGTTACGAGACGTTATTTCGGACTCACATCCAACGGTAGTGGCTAATGCCATTGCATCTTTGTCGGAAATCTTAGAGATTTACAGTGCAGGAGTAACGGCTTTCACGATTTCCAAGTCCGTGCTGCAAAAACTATTGGCGGCACTTAATGAGTGCAATGAGTGGGGACAGTGCTTTGTGCTTGATGCGCTGTCATGATACATGCCCGCGGACTTTTGCGAGGCAGAAGTCATTATTGAACAGGTGACGTTACGTCTCCCAGCATGCTAACTCGGCCGTTGTGCTTTTGGCAGTCAAGGTCATTATGACATTCCTCGAGAAGGTCTCGGACGCTGATACGGAACGCAGTCTGTCGCGTAAGATGGTCAATCCGCGTGACGCTGCTGTCAGCTGAGTCTGAGATCTAGAACGTGGCTTTGCGTAGCATTAACCTGATTGTGCAGAAAAGCCCAGCAATCTTGGCGAACGAGATAAAGCAGTTCTTCTGCAAGTACATTGATCCGGTCAATGTCAAAATGGAGATGCTGGAAAGTATCATCTGTATTGTCTCGCAGCGCAACATTGAACAGGTGCTGCTTGAGTTCAAGGAATACGCTACTGAGGTGGATGTGGAATTTGTGCACCGTTCGGTACGTGCGATTGGTCGATGGGCTGTTAAGCTTGAACGTGCTGCGGAGAAGTGCATCAATGTGCTGCTGGAGCTTATTCAGACCAAGGTCAACTATATCTTGCAGGAGGCTATTATGGCGATCAAGGATATCTTCCGCAAGTATTCAAACCAGTACGAGAGCATATTTGCTACCCTATGCGAGAACTTGGATACACTGGACGAGCCCGAGGCGAAGGCATCAATAATTTGGATTATCGGCGACGTATCGACAATGCAGACGAGCTCTTAGAGTCGTTCATGGACTCTTGCGATGATGAGACTGCCCAGGTGCAGCTGCAGCTTCTGACTGCTACCGTAAAATTGTTCTCCATGCGTCTTAATGAGACGCAGGAAATGTTCCAGAAGGTTCTCCACAAAGCCACAGAAAATTCAGACAGTTTGGAGTTGCGTGACCGCGGGTACGTATACTGACGCCTACTTTTGGCCATATCCGGACGTTATTCACGCTGTTGTGCTTGCGTAGAAGCCAGTAATCAGCGATGATACATGTGCCCTTGAGTCTTCGGTTTTGGACAAGCGAGCACTACTTTACATTAGTGCCGGGTGGATGTGGCGTAGACGACGTGTCAGGGCGTCTGGGGCACAACAACGCTTTTTTTCGTAGCCAAGCGGTCCATCGACGGGAAGACAATTGCGTATATCTCAGTCAAGACCATGACGAATATCGTGGCACTCTTCGAGCTTGCGATCGCGTCAGTTTGAAGACCGGCGTCATAGCATCTTAGTAAGCACGAGATAACACATGAGCTGGTTGGGTCGGACTAATGAAGCTGTTGGATGTGGCTACTTAAACTATGAGTAGAGTTGTGAAAATATAGCAACAACCTCTCCTACCAGGTACTCACCGCAACTAATTGCTTCATCACCGACCATCCATTGATTTCAGCCTCGGCACTACCGCTACCTGAACACGACTACACTTTTAAGAGGGTAGTGTTCATGTCCGACAGCCACATTAAGGGGCAATTAAACACAGTAAGCAGCTTTTAACGTTGGCAAGGAGGTCGGCAAGCTTATGGGGGAGATAGGTGCAGATCTATTTACGCACCACTTCGCCGAACTTCATCACAATAGTGGACGTGTACCAGTTATCATTATCGTGAGCTATCGAACCAGAGGCATCCCGAAGACATCAGTGTCACGGCAGCAGGCACCTCCGATTTGATGGTCGAGGCTTGGAGCGTACGAAAAGCACGACGTGCTTGGAAGAAGCTGACAATCTTCCTATACATTTCGCATGTCGCAGACTCACGATACCTCAATGCGTAAGAACCAGAGATTATCTTTCACTAAGAGATCTACTGGATGGGATGCAAAGATGCTTGTAAATGCCCTGTATCAACCTATGCCCAAATATTTTCTGACTTGCGACTTGGCATCTTTACGAAGCCGAACCCACCCGGAGAAAGCGTTGTCGTACGCAGAATTGTCTGGTAATGAAGATTCACTTCCTCGTTCTCTGTATGCCCCAGGGACCACTTTTCCTGTCCGTAAGACGACAATGGTGTTCTCAATTCCAACTCGGCGGCACAATATAGCCTTACATCATGTACTTGTTCATTACCAAAGCAAAATGTGCTGAATTTCAGAACTACTGCGCATTTACAATTGCCAGGCTACCATACTGCAAGAACGCATGCACCTCGAACACATCAATCCCTTGAACGATCGTAAGCTGCTCTTATGGATCTGAGCACATCAAGTCATTGTCGGAAGTAGTTGCAGGCTGTCACACCACATAAAATATAGAGAATAGTATAGTGTCAACGTAATGAGCTGCCACTTTATTCAAAGAATATGTCATTGTATGCAAAAGTGCTTCATTTGGCAGTAAGTACAGGCTCAAGTTTCTGCAACACTCCAACATAGTAGAGTGAGCCTAAAGCTGTTGAGTACTTGACAGCAATGCAGTATGAAGCAAAAGTATCATGGCTTTGATGGCGACAATTGATGCACCTTTCTAAAATGGATACTAATCCTGATCAAGACGCCAAATGTAGCCATTTTCGAGGCAGCTATTAATACGGTTTATTCGTTCACGAAAACAAATCAGCTCACGAATTCATCCTAAGCCAATCAGATGTCTTTGAATGAATGTTGACCAATCCTTAAGGAGAACTGAGATTCTGAATATCCATCGACTAAGACACACAATCATAGCATAAAGCAGACAGAAAAGATGCAGTGTTTACGTAACTGAGACAAGGACATAAATCGTCATAGGGTTAAGGTAATCAAGATGATTAGTATTTCCATCGAGAAATGGCTTCCCTTTTCTTTGTCGTACTTTGCAGTTTGAGAAGCCATGACAATGTGAAGGGGTCATGATAAGTGGAGATCTCAGCTTGAGGCGAATAGCAAGTCCTATGCAAAAGTCGAGCTTCGATCGATCGATGCTATATTGTGTTGGTCTTTGTTGTATAGTTGATGATATACAAGGTTGCTTGCCGGTATTTCGTTATTTGTAAAGGGTGAAAGACGGAGATATGTCAAACATTACCACCATAGAGCAAGGAAGCAGTTGCGGTGCTCGTTAAACCCTCCAGCTGAAGCAGGTAAGTGTAGAAGTTGCTCCTTTATAACTTGCAAAGGTGTCTGGAAAACGTTGGGGAAGGTCGAGGCTTGCAGGGCCAGTGGCAAAAGATACGTTAGAATAAGTCGAATGACAGTCGGAAGTCGCTGGCAGTTACTCTGCAATTTATTTTAAGGTGGGAGATGGGGTGTCATGCAGACTTATTGTCTTAGGTTGTACTTGTTAACTGGCATAAGCCACGAAGAGATGAATAGTAGGACAGTAGGACTTGTATGAAAACAAAATGAACGACAGTTTTGAATTTGCATCGTGCGACTCTTAGTGTGATTTGCAAAAGTTATTAGCCTAACTATGGTCTCTCAGGATGGCATACAATGTAGACGGGCACTTCTACGAAGTTGCCTAGTGCTACTAGCACCCACCTTCAGCACAAGCGAGGAAGAGGGTAGACCGTCTTACCTTCGCGTGCGAGGGTTTTAACAGAGCACCTAGTTACACGCAAACATTAATAAGATACTTAATGTTTGGTCTAAAAGTATCCATGATTACTTTTGACCTGTCACTTGGGTGCGATACACAAACGTGATCCACCCTCGTGATTGTGATATCCATTTATGGATTCACATGGGAAGAGAAGACGCTAGTTGAAGCTAGGCATCGCGACGTCTCAAAAGGACGTCATTCTCAAGCTTAAATCTACATATAAGTTCATGCGACAGGATCTGCTTCTAAAGAGTCGCGTATCCGATCTATATACATAAATAGCCAATCAGTAGTTAAGCTTATATTTAATTATAATTCATTAAATATAGATCAGTCTTGAATTTGGTTAAACATACGCACCACGCACGAGAAGTTGCAAAGCTTCTGCGTGACGTCGGTGCTTTAGTGTTAAGAAGTTCGTTGCACTCTCGCTTAAGCGAGAGGCAACTGGTGGTACGACTGTTCAAGCAGTCGACCAACCTCCTAACCATCCTCGCACGCGAAGGTAAGACGGTCTAACCGCTTCCTCGCTTGTGTGCTAGTAGCACGAGGCAACTTCGTAGAAGTGCCCGTCTACACTTGGTAGCAATAGTAGTCCTTCCCACGACCCGTCTCTCTGAGCGTGCGTGTGGTTGACATGGTCCTTAATATGGATTGGAGTGACTTCCTCACCTCTCCCAACATCATAGGTAGTTGGCAGAGCATATGGCGCAGGGACGTGGTGAACAAGCCCTGGTCAACCTCTTGCATTGTACTCCTGAGCAACATGTTACTCAGTTGGAGCAATTTGAGGCGTTTGCGCTTGGACATCGTAGAAACGCGTCCGAGGTAAACAGCCAAGCCACCGCTGAGTCCATCACTAAGACTCAGGATGAGCTTAGGCTTGAGCAGGCACATAATGAGGCGCTCAACAGAACTGTTGAGACGCTTTCTGTCCGGTTTAATCAGCCATGGACCCTCCGAAATTTAATGGGACTGCCCCATATACGATTGTCCACTGGCTTTAAGCAGTTGAATAATGTAATATGGCGCATCTCATCGCATACGACACCAGGATGGTGTTGTATGCCATGTCCAACTTGCGTGGCAAAGCGTCAGAGTGGGCATACTCTGCGCTGATGGCTAATGCTGATGCATTTCCATCATGGGCGATCTTTAAAACAAAAATTCGCGCCATGTATCAGCCGCCTAACAACGAAGTGTTGCTTATGGCGCGCTTCTTTGGAGCACGACAGGCGAAACGCTCTCTGCAAGAATTTGTGCAGGTGATGCGTTCGCTGTCGGCGTCCATTAATGGGGAACCGATACCAGAACGTATCAAAGTAGCCACGTTCATGAATGGACTTAGGCATGGCCCATCACGTCAGGCTCTTTTCAGAAAGGTGCCAGCGACGATGGAAGAGGAAATTGACATTGCCTTAGTTGAGGAGCAATCCTACAACAGCGCCTCGGCGACAGCCTATTACAGGCCGTCGACCGAGAAGTCGTATGCCGCTCCAATGGAGTTAGGCAATGCAGATGTTATCTGCTACAAGTGCGGCAAGCGAGGCTATATGATGGCTCTCTGCTATGCCAAAGTAGCTGCTGGTGCTAAGGCAGTCAGCAAAAGGTCTCCCAACCCGAAGGGAGGTGTGAAAAACCAGCGTGCACGACGCACGGGTTCAGCACCTGACCAAGATGGGCCGGTATATGCGGGAGCGCAGTAGGGGCGGGATGCCCTACTGTCGCGGACTCTGAAGCTACCCCTAAGTTCAGAGTGATCGAACAAATGGGTAGCATAGTCCCTGAGGTTCCGAAAGGTCGGACCTCAACCCTTTTGGTCTATAGCGCTCGAGTACGAGGCTATGACCAAGTGATGACCCTTCTCGTGGATTCGGGTGCATCACAAAACTTTGTGAAACTCGCGGCTCTGAAAAAGAGACCGTCGAGTTATGAGTCGCTTTGCCAGGATGGCAAGCGAGAAGAGGCGATCGTTCGTTTAGCGAACGGCGAGCTCTTTTGATTGAAGAGAGTTCAAGTTGAACTCGCCTTCAGCTTTAGTGACTTCACTTGTTAAGATAAATTCACAGTGCTAGGTATGAAGAGTCCGTATGACCTCATCCTAGGCATGCCTTGGTTGGCTAAACACCAACCATGGATCGACTGGCGTACACACACAGTCGCTAGCTCTACGCAGGACACCGGAAAGGATGTGCTCTAGCGAGAGGCTTATG